CTGTTTAGACAACTTTTGGTAGCTGTAACTTAAAATGATTGTATAATGATATTCTAGAAATGTTTAAGATTTTGTGTTTAATACTTTTAAGTATTATATTATGGCTTATTATTGTATTGTAACTTAATAGAAATAAGGCTGTTCCCATTTTATCAGTGTATGTACATATATACTAAAATGAGAAATACACATTATGTTTTTTACTTCATTATATATCGTTTTTGAATATTCCACCTTTTACCATATAACAGTATACACAAATAAAATAAAATTAGCAATGGCGTAATTATGAATATTGACTCTAGTAATATGTAAATGACCTTGAAAACTGCTTCGAAATTTTGTGAAAGAGACGTGGAAACGAAATGCTACGATTAAAATATCACAAACAGAAGAAGATTTTTATCATCTCTTAAATTTAAATGAATTAGACATTAACTATATGAAAGTTGCTTAATTGTTAACAAACAATAAGAATTTCAAGTAGCATTAAATGTAACTTACTGCCCCCAACTATCTCCACAATTGGATATTAAAATAAGCCGTCTTGCACTATATGAGGACAGTACGGACCGGTTTCGCTCGTTAGCAACACTTGCATATCGTAAGTAAATTTTGAATAGTTCAATTTTGCGTGATTTTATCTATAATCAATCACTAATTGGATACTATTTACTTACAATTACAATAATAAGTGTAAATATTTTTTATTATACTTGTTGAATTCGCCTTGACATTCGCTAAAAGATGAATGTACGAAAATTAAAGGTTTATTTGTACAAAATTGAAGGTGACCTTGAAAACATCGAAAAAATGGAGTAATAAAACATATACCATTGTCGTGCTAATTGTACTTGTACTCTCACACTGATTAAACTTGTACTAATTTCAATCGGTCCACTAACAACAGACTAAACTAGGGTGATCACGTTACACAGTTCACCCTGTATACTTGGTGGAGATAAGGATATTTTTGAACCTGACAAAATCAAAATTTTTTAAAATAAAAGTGATGGGGAATGTTTTTTCTTTATTTAAAGAACATATTTTTGTCAATTTCATTTCACAATATTATAGAGCATAAAAAACCATTAAATTTTCATTCTATAACATTGTTTTTATATCTACAAATTTGCAAAATTAAAAAGAATCGAAATTTTCAAATTACCAAAGTTCCCTTGTTAACAAACGTAACTATTAGAATGAATAAGTATAGGTTTGAATGTACTCAGGAGCGCAAACAGATAAATTTATATTGTAATGGAAATAACAATTATTATCTTCAGTTCACAACACCTTCATTAGCATTTTTAATTTGTATTAGCAGACTAATAATTGTGAACATTGATAAATTTGAAAATTATGTTTACGAAAATACACAATTATAGGAACAAAGGATCGATACTTTTCAGAAGTATTTGCAATTAAAATTTTAATACGACTGGAAACTGATGCCAGAATCGTGGGATGGTGGGCCAAAGCACTTACCCCCACTATGCCTACCGCCGTCTCCGACTATACCGTCCTCGTGCTCTTACACAAGTGTAGCGGTAGCTCTGTCCGTGTGCGCAGCCTGTTCGGCTCTTTCCGCCAATAATCTACGTCACCACGCAACGCTCGAGAAAGTGCATGAGTAACAATCAGGAGAGTCCCTTTGAATCTTGGTGAGATGCAGTATTTAGAATATACATATGGGCGTTCGGGACAAAAATCAAAACATCTAAAATAATCAGTTTTCAACCTAAGTTCTTCAATACTTTTTTGAAGAGAATTCAAATATACATTGATTGGCACATAAAAAAATATATGGTTTCATTTAAAAAAATTGTAGTGATCTTTATTTTTTATCGAATAAAAACTTTTTTGTAAATTTTCATTAACACGATTTATTGTCAACTGAATACTGATTAACTTTTGTTTGAAAAATTTGTTCATCAGTTTTGCGGAAATACCAGCAAAATCGTAACGGCCGTTTCGCATACAGGAATTTGAGAGACAAACATCATAACTTTGTATACATTCAAAATTTCTCTTTTATTTTTGTTTTGTAATTTTCATGAGGTAGTTAAATAACAATATAAATAATTAAAAAATTGAATAACGCGTACAATAGTAAGATAGGATGCTAGAATACTGAATGCGTCAATAACGATTTTGATAATTTTCTTCATTTTGAGGAAATTTGAGCAGTTAAATTTGACATTAATATAAAGATTTATATGTTCAAAATTAATATACAAAAAATCACAGAGGTATTACTCGGTACTTTTTTTAAAAGTCTCGTTAAATTTGATACAAATTTTACATAAAAAATTAGGAAAATTTATTACTATTGTATTAAAATTCTGTGTCAGCTTCAAAGGTATTCAGGTACTAAACACAACATATAAAAATCAAATCAAAAACACAAATGGTCTGTGAATGGCACATATTTGAAAAATACACTGATTTTAAGGAGCAAATTTTACGTCTTAATTTTAACAACAAATGGACGTATTCAGTTAAAATTATAGGTAATATTACAAACTATGGCTTGTTACTAACAACTTAAAATGAAAAAATTTGTAGATTTCACACTTTGAAATTCTGATTTTTGTCCATTGGTCGAAAATGTTTGGAAAAACATCTCCCTAAGTGCGTGGCCCCCTCGTGGCGGTCGCCACATTTTAAAATTAATAATTTATATAAATAAATTGCAGATGTCATAAAATAAAATAATATTAGATTTTATCAATTAAAATAAAAGTAAAAAATATTCTTCTACCCTTCAAGACTCGAAACCTGGACTATTCTCTCTTACGAAGCAAACGCTTTAATCGCACCCTACTGTCGATTGTTGAACATCACTTAAACTTCCGAAGTTTTATAGAAGTAATTTCAATTGTTTAAAAATATTCGCATTGAATGAAATATTTTACAGAATGTCATTTTTCGACTTCTGGATACATCCCTGTAATTTTAATTAAAATCCTGTGATAGTCTCCTTGTTAAGTGCCTTGCATATCAATATTTCTCAAATTTTTTATTTCACTGAAAAGTTACAAAATAATTAAAAATAAAAAGTAACACCGTCGCATCGAGATTCAAAGGGAATCTTCTGATTATTACTCATGCGTTCAGGTTCAGGTCATGGGGGGCCGGTACAATGAGGACACACTACTGCCGACGCCCCCACCACCTGACCTGTCGCGAGCAGGTCTGAACACGTTCAGTGTACGCCGACTCGAGCGATTAACAACAGTCTTAGAATACAGGTGGATGTTGAACGGAGCAAGTGTCTCACGTCTGATACCGCACGCGCGAATGAACCTGTCAAAGGTTTTCAGACAAATATTACGCGCACGCGATTACAATCACGAGAATTATACGTATTTTCGACCTTTTTACATTCACTTCTTATCTTCCAATGGTAAGTAAACAAATTTCTAAGTTCTCACACGTCATACGGGTAATTGAACTTCTCACTACTCTCAGCAGTCAATTTTCAATCGTGAGAAAATCGAACAGTTTCATTTGTCATACATTAGAAGCGCGTATTCTTTCCAATAGAATAACGGGTACATTGCTCCATTGGTAAGGATATATTTATGATGTCAAATTAGTGGTACAATCGAGAAGTTCGTGACACATGTGCATGTAAGCAACTGCGCGATTACGTTACATATTTATAGGGGGCCTTTGCAAACAGTGATTGAAATTGTGATACGCACACGATGGGGGATTATCGAATCGTGTGCCATTGATCACAGACCGTTTTTCATCTATCGTTTTATGCGTTTCACTTACTCTGCACAGAATCCAATTCTTCAAAACACTATAACTTCTATTTGAGATTTCATCATCTTTCTTAAAATTTGGATCCGACGATCTTTTTCGACAAAATCGATACATCATAACATGTTTTTATTATCGTTCTAAAAGGCACCGTGATTGTTGTCAACAACACGTGATATTTTATTTATAATTTAATTTAATTTAATTTAATTGTGATTTTACGTGAAAAGGAGAAAAGAATAGAAATATCCGAAAATTTTTATAATGCGCAGTATATAGTTCGTATAAATCGCGTCTTGGTCTCGTTACTAGAACCGGAATATGTGTTCCACAATTCTCGGTACCATATCGTCCGTGCGGTGATGAGTCACGCGGTCATCGCTTTTTTTCTTTTTCCCCGGGAATCTCAGCAGCCATCGTAGGAATAAGATATCATAAAGAAATAAGGGAGCAATTATAATATCGAATTCTGTGATACGTTTCATCAATCCGTTATCTATCGAACAGTATTCTTTTTTTATTTTTTTCTTCGATTCGTCAAAAATTCTACAAATGAACTTTTTACTTGGTAATTCGAACGATATCATGTGATAGATATGTAGATAAAAAGGAGTCTGCATTTTATTGTGTTGTATTAGGAATATACGTTGTTCACGCGTAGTCCATAAGATTTCGAAGGAAATTTTTTTTTCCGCGAAATTTCAGGAAATTTTATTGAAATGTTAAAAAAAAAAAGAAAAAAAGAAGTACATTAAGGCTAAGAAGATTCTTTTCCTCGTAGATGTTAAGCAATAGTGAATTAAGCGAAAATTGACCGATTACAGATATCTTGTTTCTCGATTGCGTCATGATAAGTTTTATTTTTGCAAAAATGCAGTCACGCTATTGTAATACGTGGTACATCTTTCTTATATCTTATCGATTGATAATAGATCACACCATCGTTCATTTAAGACATTTCTAGAATTATAAAGTAAGTAGCACTTTATAGTTAGTGTCCATCCGTTATATTATACGCACGTAGTGAACAACATCCACGGGATCAGAAAAGAAAATTCGAAGATCTGAGCGAGATTTTAGTGTAAATAATTAATAGCAATTAAGAAAAGTGCTCGAAATGGGTGTGCTGTCTATAAGAAAGGTGCTGAACTATCATTGTTAAATGTATTTTACGAGTCGACATGTTTTAATTTGAAAATGGCGTCAGCCACTTGAAGATTTCCACAATTGCCAGATATTTGTGTCGATATTGATTGAAATAATGTCTAATAGAGCACTCAGAAGCCAAAGTGACTAACTCCATTGAATAAAATTTTTTCACTAAATTTTATTTATGAAAAATGAAGCACCAAGCATATGTGCTTCGATATTAAATGTGGAAGAATACGAAAATATGAAGTTTCGCTTCTAAGTGGTTCAACTATAAATATTCGTATACTGAAAAATCTTATACAGTGGCAATATTATGGTTCACCATTGCAAAAATAGTGCTGAATGATCTTTCGACAGTAGATTAAGCCGACATAGTAGGTCACTAGGCAAGCGTCTACAGCCGTTGGACCTCTAACCGGAAGTGTCGAGCATTCCACACCCCGTCTGTTCGAATAAAATCGAGAGAAACTTGAAAATGATGCGGTTTCTTTGAATGCCCATTAATTATTCGTTCATATGCATTGTTAAAGTTAGCAGAATTAAGCTATTTAACAATCTAATCGATAACTTAAGCAACAATTTATTTTTTTGAAGTAAGATCGCCATCTTAAAATACAAACTTTGCGTTCTATATTTCATTAAACTGTTTGAGGACGGTAGACTTAGTATGCTTTCACAAATATCGTACAACCAGATGCTTGTATTTGCGGAAAATATAATTTCAATACGAATGAATTTGAAAAAAGAATATGAAGTGTTAACCTATTTATATGTTGTACGTCACGCCATCTTGGTGCAAAGTGATAATGTATGATATTGCTAACGATACAATGAAAATCAACCATTCCACAGATGTATTCTTTCCAAAAAAAATGTTTTTTTTCAAAGAAACAGTTAATCTTGAATGTTTTCTAATACATTTATTTTGCAGGCTACGATAGAGGAAGGGCTTTGTCATGACGATACCGATTGTTCTAAACTGCAATACTGTTATCATGTATCGAAACGATGCGTTGACTACACTCATTGTAAGAGGTACAACAGATTGGAGAATGATAAAGGATCGCGACATCCTTCGCAATGTGGACCGTGTCTGACTGGGTAACTTGAAGGAAAAAAAACAAATTTTTCTACTAATTATTCGACTGTAATTAATGATTACATTGTGCTAATTGTAAAATAATTGCAGCTATACAGCGGAAAAGTTGGGCACGGGAGAAATGGATTATCTGTGTAAGAAAACGAGTGCACAGGAGAATATTGGTAAGAAGATAAATTCACTTTGATTTCGTTCAACATATTATTTTCGTTTATTTATTCTTCTTTTTCTTTTGTTTTTTTTATTCTTTATTCGAACAAAAAAAAAAAGAAGAGAAACTGAACAATCATACGATCATCTACATAATAATAATTGGAAGCGTGCTATTTCTCTGTCTGGCTGTGGTTGGGATTATTTTTGTATTGCATAAAAAACGTAAGTGATATGTTATAGAATATTAAATTATATATGTTTATCGATAGTCGTTAAAATTATAGATATATAATAGTAGCAAATGTATTTTAGGAACATCGCAGCAACAAGAGGATGATCTAGAACAATGCGGGAAATTGTGCACGGTAGAACCCACTGCTCCCCCGATGGAAAATCGTGAGTAAAATAATAATTGTTAAAAAGAACCGGTATCAGGTAGTAGAAAGCACATGGAAAAGCTTCCGGAAAAATCTCTTAAAATTGCACACAAGTAGGATGTTTGTTCGCGCTAAACACGTGGTTAGAGTTTATCAACGCTTATCGTTCGTAACTAGGAAAATTGCATTGAAAGATAGTATCATGTATGTTCCTTAATTGGACAATCACATGGCAGTAGCAGAAGAAACACGATAAAGTCGCGGCACTTTGTAAATTGAAAAATAAACGAGCACAGTAGTTTTGTAGCTGCTATAACTTAATTTGCTCACTTTTTAACATTTTCTTGTATCTTTTGAAGTTACTAACCGTGAATCGAAACGGTTAATTTTTTTTTTATGCGAAAAACAAAATTATTTTATTACAGTATATCTACCTACTTGAACGCCGAAATAACTACGAGCTGTTCAGAACGCGGTAATAATTCGCATAGAACTATGTATGTTATATTGACGATATTCATGTGATGCTTGACATGATTTTTTTTAATAAATTGTGTACTTTACAGGTCCCTTTATCTGTTGCGAAAAAGGATTACCTTCAATACCTCTCAATAATAATAAGAATCTGAAGGATAAGAATACTCTTGTACGTGCTGCCGTTTGTGCCGACCCAAGTTGGATACGCAGAAATCCAAATTATGAGAACGATTTGAATAATGACAACGTGAATGCGATGAATGATCAATCGCATTCTATGGCTGAGTTAGCTGAGTCAGTTGATAATGAACCTAATAATTGGAATCCGGAGTAAGTATATATTTAGCGATTGAGGAGATGTGGATTTCTACAAGCCTGTAATGTTTGTACGATTTTATTTTTTCCAGGGAATTAACACTCCAAGTTCCAAATAGAAACTTAGTCACGTATGAAGTAGAACAAGCGGACAATAGCTTGAATACAGCATTAATTCAAACAAATAATCCTTCTTTGTCGAATGTAACTGAAGAGGATGATAACAGTAACAATACTAATAATGATTCAACGCCTGAATCAAGTAATACTCAAAGCAGTGGAGAACGTGTACGAGCTCCAAACATATTTATCTCTCAAAAAATATCTATGAATGTAAATCTGCTCGATAGTGATCTGAAGTAAAGTTATTGAATAATATATATTTTAAGGAAGCCTATTGAGCACAGTGACATCAAATTGATTCGATGAAAATTCGTCGTATATAAAATGTTTTTATTCAAAAGATGAACGTAATGAAACTGCCAAATTAGAAAAAATTGATAGAAACTCAAATTTTAATATACAGTTAAACATATCATGTTGTTTGTTATTTGAATTATAAAAATTTAGCAGTCATGTTTAAAAAAAGTAACGATTGGATTTATTAAATTTTTAGCTAAACGAGTCTAGTCAATAAGTACACCTGGGTCTCTTTTAAAATGTTTTTATACGTTTTTAATTATGCACGCTACGTATCCAGTGTTTAAAAAGATATCTAGGTGTATCATAAATAGCTGATTATTAAAATTTGTTATTCAATACTTTATGAAATGTAAAATTACAACTTCATCACTGTTTTTTGTTAAACTTAAAGTGCTATTAAAGTACAATTTTTATTTTTTTTACTTGTAATAAGTTTTTATACTTCAAGTACTATAACATATATAAGTATTATATCGTTTTGAGTATTTTATGCTATTTCTATATGTACAGTTTTTATTTCAATGATATTTTAGTGACATAATGATTTCATTTCAATAGATAAAAGTATCAATGAGAAAGAGTAAACATTGATTATGATTACCAATTATTCTAATTTGATGTCAGTGAAAAATTTAATATGATAATGCACAGGTTCATTGAGTTTTGCATACTAAGAACATATCGTAACAGCGAAGTGATTTAAGATTAAAAATATAAAATGCTCAATATTTTGCAGCATATAGTGTTTGCAAAAATGTGTTTGGACATTAGATTTTAAATAATTAAAATAAATATATGTTGAATGTAACAAATATAATAATTCAGAGGAAAGCAAAAACATTTTAAAACTGTTAATGCATTGTGTATTAAAAGCATGATACATTTTGTATCTCTAGAAAGCATAAGTATATTGGTTACTTATTCATTAGATGTATCTATATACAGTTACTCTAATAAACTTGTTGTCTACATAAAATTGACATGAAGATCCTTATTACCCTCATTACACTTATGTGCCATTAATTACCGTTTACATATGAATTGCATGTAACATAAGTAAAGTTCATATAACTGATAAATGTAGTCGCTCATGTTTCTAATATTTTTATTGTTATGAATTGCCATTATATATTTCATTAAAAATAAAACTTGATGACGGTTACTATCTATCCTTAATTCCAGTTTTTTTTTTTATGAATTCAAAGTCTATAATATTTTTGTTCAGTTTTATTTTTCATTATTACTTTTTAAAAAAATAATTCTTCTATTTGTGCAAACAAAATTTAGTGATGAATGTCACAATTATGTGATACACCATTTGCTACTGTACGCATTGTACGCCATTTTACATAATTGCCGCCACTATACGTTTGGTTACTTCTAACATCGACGAGGTATAGAATAGATCTATCACTTAATGCATGTTTTGTTTCACGTCGCAGGGGCTCTAGAGCCCATTAACGTTATGGATTTAACATAAAATAAGATTACAATATTGGTAGTGGTTGGAATTAGAACTAAATGTAAATATGAAATTACAAATAAAGTATAGGACAGGATATTTTATAACCATATTAGGTTGATCACAAAGTTCTATCGTTTTATTATACAAAGAAAATAAACCAAAGCTTTTCGAACGAAACTTTTATCGATTAATCTGTGGTATAATATTTATTGTTACTTATAATTTTCTTCTAAGTACCCAGCAATTTATTTATCCACTTCATGTAAAAGTTCTCATTTATGTGATTAAAATTTCTTGCAACATGTTTGCAAGTTGATTTTCAACGTTAAAGCTTTTTCCTAACTAGCTAGCCGAATTTCTACCGCATTAAATAATCTATTTTCTCATAATTTTCGAAGCTTTCCGGTCGAATTTCGGGATTTATACGCACTTAGAGAATTGTGGCATGTTTGAGAAATGATTGACTTGCTATACCGAAAAATTCGAGCTTCTAAGGAATGTCTGACTTGTAATACTAATTAGCTTCGAGATATTTTAAAAAATTTTCAGAATCGAAGCAAGTAGTACAGTCAACCATTTCTCAGGCGTTGAAAGGGTCTAACCGAATAAGCGTGGTAAAAGTGCCCATAAACCAAATGAAACATGTGATACGTCAATTGAAAAAGCTTTCTAGGAAGACCATCTCCTGAAAGTTTCAACCCTCTACCCCTATTATTAGGGTAGTTATCGACCTAAACATCATTTTCATTTCAGACTTGATTTTTTTTGTTCTATCGGACAAAAAGTTATGAAAAAAATCTGAGACACTATAGCTAGAGTGTTACGTATCTGAGAATTTTTTCCGATTTTTAGAATAAAAAACCTATTTTTAAAAAATTAAACAACATTTGAAATGCCAATTTTTTATTGAAGTTATCAAATGACTGCGTTCATATGTTTACAGTAGAAGCTGCCTGTCATGCTTATTAACTCATAATTTTTTCAGATTTTTTGGAAAGAAGAGTCATAGTTAAAAAAATTAAAAACCACTATTTTTTACTGTTCCGTGCACATAATAGTGACCTTTAGTGACAACAAGAGGTGTTTAAATTAAAAAAAAAAAAATAATTACACTCCTTGAAATTCTACTTACAAAATGAGCCCTTTTGCACATCTGTTTAATTACAACTTGCTTTATAGATGTCAGTTTCTTTGCTCGTAGATTATTTATGAATATTATAAAAAGTTTATTGTTCAATAAACTCTCCATCCTGCAACATAATGCAAGTGAATCCCCTAGATAGAATTTACAATTGTTGAAGGGACATTTTATCATCATCACTGGCAGTAATGTATAGTAACACTTTAAATTTACGAACGAAAATTAACTGACGTTGAAGCTTTACTTTCATTGCTATTGTTTTTGAATGAAATGTTTTAACAACAGTGTTAGTATATGCATAATAATGGATAATATAATGAATCTCAAAACAGAATATATGAAAATTACGGATTCACAAATTAAAGACTTATTACAAAGCCAAATCAAGTTAATCGATTATGCTAAAAACAAACAAAGTCACCATTGTAATGGTAATTTATTTTATTATTGTTTATATTTTATTTTTCGAAAGCAAATCATATTTTTCCTTTTCAGAAGATGAAATAAAAATGAAAGAATTAACTTCGAAAATAACCTCTATGCGGGAGAGTCTTCAATCTGAACAACAGACATTGGAATATAAGAATTATGATCTGTCTAAACACTTAGATTATATAGTAACTATTTTTATATATGTAATACAATTTTTCTTTCATTAA